AACATCATAAGTTGGCAAAGTTTCTGGTATTATTTATTTGCTCTTTTAATATCATTTTCAAGCATAAAATCTATCTCTGCTAAGTTTGACGACTCGATTATAACTATGGTATGTATTTCATAGCGGAGCTTATGTTAAATTGAATTCTGTTCTAAATTATGCTTGTCTTGTCCTTGGAGACCGTTGGATATTTTAAGTGATCGAAAATCAATGTGAAGGCATAATGAATGTTGTAAATTTCATCGTAATCTCGACATTTTGAATGGAATCTTTAGGAGAATGTTACCTATCACAGCATGTGATGATATTAATGGTGGCGATCTATTAGGTTTAAACCAGTTTTGTACCCAGGGAGGTTTTGATGCGAGCTCAGTTTCTTTTAGATGCTACATAAATGAAACGGATAAATTAGTCAGTCCCTTTTAACTTCCCCCTCTGGTTCTCATTGTTTATTTTGATTTTTAACTCAAAGCTGTTCTTGCTGCAGGTGGTAAATATCCTCCCCCTAAGAGGTGGACCTTCTCCCAAGTTCTCGCAGAGAACGGTTTTGACCGCAGAAAATTACCAAGTTGTGTGATCGCTTCTTTCTAAATTTCATGCTTTGGATTATGAGTTTTCATTGGCTTCTTTCTATATTTCATGTAATTAATGTGTTTAGTTACCGGTTGTTACAAAATATTTAGATATTATTTTACTAAAATACCCTTTATAAGATTATATATATTTGTCCAAATAATTAATTAATGAGGTTAAAGAAGTCATTTAACAATTTGGGTTAATTGGAATTTTTACTAAGGGTAAAATTAGAACAAAAATGGGATCATCACTGTAATTTTAAAATACCACATTTTGAGTCGGTAATTATATAATCATTTATATCACCTCTTATATTATTGGAATCTTTTATTATCTATTAAACTAAACAAGATAATAATTAGATTAAAAGATAGATTATCAGAGTAATCTTTTTAGGGTCGTATAGTTAAAACTTTTAAGAGAACGTGTGAAAGTTGGCTAATATTTCAAATATGCATTACAATTTACACGTTGGTGCTCTCTACATGTGACACTTTCAAAATTTATAATAAATAATAATGCAATCTGTGCATAAGTAGAGAGATATAGAAGATAAGATTGAGAGATTAATTAGAGATATATCAGAAGATGTTCCTAATGCCCATGCCTACTTTCGTGATTCAACATCAACAGCCCCTGTCAATACACTACCATCTCCCAACACCCAAACACAAAAGGAAACTGCCTAGCAAAACGGGCGGGTGGGCTGAGTATGGGTTGGATCCAATGGGTATGGGTCTCATGGATAGGAGTCCAAGACAGGTCCAATCCTATACGGGTACGGGTGGACTCACAAGTACCCGTATTATTTATGGGAGTTTTCAATTATAACAATTATATCCCAAAATTCCTGTAGTTTTTATTTTTTACAATTATACCCCCACAATCAACTAGTCTACATTAGATTTCGCTACAATACATGCAAAATCTTGTTCATTTATGATCTAAACTTGACAGTATCACTACTTTACTTTGTGATTATTTCAACTCACCACAACTTTAATTATGAACAAAGACATTTTTATTTATAATTGGTTCCATATGCGTTGTTGTGGGGTCTCATCTTTGTATTCCAAACAAACGAGTAATATTAAGCCAACAACCCATTCTCACAAACCTTTCTTACAACCTTAACGTGTCAACAGATTAACACTATCACGTCACATCCCACCACGAACCTCACCACACCCAAGACATCCAAGCACTATGAGAAACAAATGGCCGTTTTTGGAGAAGGAACGATCGTCCCCTATGAAGGCACGACCGTTTCTTCATAAGGAACGGTTGTACCTTATGAAGGAACATGGTTGTTCCTTTAAGGAACAACCGTTTCTTCTTCTTCTTCTTCTTTTCTTTTGTAAGAAACGACCATACCTTTATAAGGAACGACCGCTCCCTATGAAAGGAATGACCGTTTATTTGGTCTAGTCAAAATTATTTACGTCTAGGAGCTAGGCCAAGGTATCATGTCGGTGTTGTGATCGGGGGTTGTTGACATAGTATTATTCAAGAAACAACTTATTTTTAACATCTTTGATATAATAGAAAGCATTAAACGTATTAGATGTAATTATCAGAGTTCATTCCTGTTCCAACAATGTCAGAATAAACGTTATCATCTTCTTCATTGGATGTTAAGTGTTCATCTTTAATACATTAAACACCAATGAAAGAGACGAAACAATTATAGAAACTTCATTTCATATCAAAATTCGTAAGATCATTTTCCTCGGACCATCTCTCTTCTCAATTTAAACTCTCACTCACAAAAACAGATCAAAACCCACTCTCAAGAACTGATATTGTCCCATTAGCATCCACCTTGGTATTAAACACCCATTTTCCATCAATTGGAAACATATTTAATGAAAAAGGAACTAATATATGTTGACCTCGTACAATTTTGTTATCATCATGTGTTATATATTAAGCTTCATTATCTCTTTCTGGTTTCAATCAGGAAATGGGATTGACTGTTGCGCTCAAAAGGACTTGTTCTAGTTGCAGCTGCAACTTCAATGTTGACAGTCACTAAAACCGTCTCGTCTTTGGGTCACCAAAATGATGGTAGATACAAAACTGTTCTGTGGGTGGGCAGGAATGGCGATCTGGCTTCAAGTACTAAACTGCCTTGGTCTCAGCAAAATTCTCCATTAATTCTACCTCAATGATGTTCTAAGTGAGTTCAGATGATCTCTTTCTTTCCCTTCTTAATGTAAAATTTGTATGTACATTCTGTCAAACACGATCGATATCGATGTTAATTTAATTGTCTGCAGTTTTCAAGTATGATCCTCCGAGCGCTAGATACTGTATTTCCTCATCACAGCGTTTACTTGCTATCTGATCTGAATGGTTTTCTGAACTGCAAACTTTCGAAAGCCACCATTGTACCAAACTCCACCCAGGGTGGCGGCCAGGGGTTTGAGTTTGCGCTGGAGAAATGGGAGCAGCCTTATTATTTAGATCCATAATGGATTGGCAATTTGACTTTGTCTTGGTCAACTTTGAAACATATATAAACTAATAAATTTTTTTCTGAATGACCGAGATGTCTGAGCCAGTTTATACGTATTTCAACTAATCCTTCGAAATTGTGGAACTACTTGCCGGTTAAGAGTATTAGTAGCTACTTTATTAGTAACCGAGAAAAAACTTGAATTCAAGACCTCTTAAGTAATACATCCAAAGAGTTTATATCGAACCATTCGATTATCCAGAGGTAATTATAAACTAATAATATATAATACAATGATTAGGTATTCCCTTTTCTGCTGGGGAAAAGAAATTATCTCATTCAGGTACCAACCCATTACAGCTTTTCTGAATTCTTTTTATTTCTGTTAAAACTTTTTATGGAAAATAGTAAGCCTTTCAGATTCATACATTATTATGTAAAATTTACAGAGAAGCTAGCTGAATATTGTTGAGTCAATTTGGCAGTTCTACAGTAGTCTCCTTGCCTATCTCTTTCGCTGTATAAGAACAATTAATGTCACCATTCTCTCAACACCAGCATCCATCTATTTCCTCTATTATATTCTCTTTACAATAAGATTCATCATTCTTGAATTTCAGTGATATCAGGAAATGGCGTTCACTGTGGCACAAGGGCTTCTTCTAATTGTAGCTACAGCTTCAATGTCGACTGTGCTGTTGGCATGGCTAACAGGGGGTGGTCCAATGGCTTTAACTTCATTTTCTGGCCGCCCATGCCCTAGAATGACTCCCACAATTCCCCTAACAATAATGCATCTAACACTATCACCGTGGGTGGATCCGATCACTGGCACTTCGGCTTCAACTACAGTGTCTGGGCTTTCCAGAATTCTCCTTTCTACCTTAATGACACTCTAGGTTAGTTTATTAATATTTTTATTCTTTTAAGGTTTACGGTTCAGGGTTGATTGACATTAAAAATATTTATATATGCAGTTTTCAAGTCTGATCCACCAAGCTCGAACGTATTTCCCCACAGCGTTTACTTGCTACCGAATCTTTGGAGTTACCTGACGTGCGACCTCTCAAGGGCCAAGATGATTGCGAACTCCACACAAGGCGGCGGTGACGGGTTCAATTTTGTTCTAAAGAGGTGGCAGCCTTACTACTTTGCTTGCGGTGAACGTGGTGGCCTCCATTGCAGAGATGGCAACATGAAGTTTATGGTTATGCCGCTGCTCCGTCGTTGGCATTACTAGTTCTTTTAAATATAACTGCAGATAATTCGAGGGTCAACCTTTGTTTTCCATATATATATATTTTTTAATGTTATATTTCCTGATATGATGAAATTTAATTTTTCAATATATTAAGTTCCCGATTGAAACAATCCAGAGTAATACAAAACCAAAACAAGTAAACACACATAAGTAAAAAGAGAGAAAAATACGCGCGATTTATCCTGATTCACCCCATTAATAAGTTACGTCTAACAGCATCTAATATTATTGAAATACTGTCTCAATATATATTTACCTTTATTGTTGAAGTATCGTTGATCTCAAATATTTATCAATTTTGTGTACTTTCTTTTATTAATAATACTAAATATGAAAACTCTTTCATGGAAATTATTGATTTATTAGAGTAAATAGAAAATTGCATATGAAAAAAAATCAATTTAGTAAATACCGAATAAATATATATAAATGAGTTACTATATATGTGAATTTATAACTTATAGGAAACATAATTATGACAAAACATATTTTAATCGATCTGGTTCAAATTTTATTACCATAATATGTGTTATTTCATTAAAATTTTTGATTTGAATCCATTTATTTTTGCCTAATCCAAAGCTTAGTTTGGCAATTCTAATTTACTGTTTCCCCTATATAATTAAGCACCAGTGCGCCGATCCTCTCAACAAAATCATCTCCTTCGTTCTCAGTACTCAGTAGTATCCATCTCTCAATCAGGAAATGGGGTTCACTGTTGCACAAAGACTTGTTCTAATTGTTGCTGTAGCTTCCATTTTGACGGTCTCAAAGGCTGGCGGGTTTGATTTGGATCACAAAAATGGTTCTCGAAAAATCGTTGTGGGTGGCCAAGAACACTGGCGCTTCGGCTACAAATACACCAGTTGGGCTCTGAAAACTCCTTTCTGCGTCGACGATGTTCTTGGTGAGTTTATTACATATAGAGGGATAAGATCTTTTAACTTCAATTTTTATTTATGTTTTGGTTATCTTTGCAGTTTTCAAGTATGATGCTCCGAACGCTACCACATTTCCTCACAGCGTTTACTTGTTGCCTGATTTTGTTAGTTTTCTTGATTGTGACCTTTCAAGAGCCACGCTGGTCGCAAACACCACACAAGGCGGTGGCGACGGCTTTGAGTTTGTGCTGAAGGATTGGCTGCGCCCTTACTACTTTGCCTGCGGTGAAAACAAAGGCCTCCATTGCAAGGATGGCAACATGAAGTTTGCGGCTGTGCCATTACTCCGTCATTAGAGATATCCATATGACCGATCAATGAATTTGCAATAATAACAATTGTTTAGATTAATGTATAACGTGAATTTATTGATTAGTTGCAGTGGTTGATCGAATTTCTGAAGAACAAAAATTGGAGAAGAGATTTGGCTATATAATTTTTCCTTCTTAATATAATAATACAATTTCTCAGTTTTAAATAAAGTTTTGAGATGGTCTTTTATTTATATATATTAATATCATTCCGAAAGATATGAGGTTTCTAAAAACCCCCATTGATCACAAAGTTTATTTCATTAATCTATGTTGAAAAAAAAAAAAAAAACCCATTGAGATGGTCTTTTTTGGGTAAGTAAGCATTCAATGGAAAAGACAGAATATACAAGGAGGCTTATAAAAGGCGGTCGGTCCACCTCAGGATAAACCCCTGAGTTAGAACAAAAAACAATAGCCTATACAAGACTAAAAACTATACAAAATCTCAATCAACCACGAGACATCCTATCATAGAACAAGCCCTAGGTTAGGTTCAAAAATAATAACCTATACAAGATTAAGACGGAAAAGACGTCTCTGCCTACCGTAGGACAAACCCTAATTTAAGAGAGGAAAACAAAAAAAAACACTGAAAAGAGCATTTTTGCATGCCTATATGAGAAGAAAAACTTACATAGGACAATCTCTATTTCTCTTTCTTCTTTGTTAAATCGTTTTATTCTATCATACTATAAAAGTTTTCCATCGGTGTCGCCATTCTTCGGCAGATCTTCAGGTATCGTCATCGTTGCATCACTCAATTTTAATTCTCTACTTCCAACTTTTAGTCAAGTTAACTCAGTTAGAGTAACATTAAACCTTTGATTCATGGTGGATTGACCTTGCCTTGGTCAACTTTGAAAATTTTATTTAAAGTAATAATTAACAATACAGTTAGGATTTCCCTTTTCTGGTGATGAGAGAACATTTTCCTCATTCGGCTACCAACCCAATGCAGTATTTGCTGACATTATTATTAATCTCTATTTATACTTTAATATTAATCTTATTGTAAAATTTTAAGCTTTTTTTTTTTTTTTTCCCCTCACCATGGTGTCCAGGCCAGCATGCATATACCTTGACAATCCTCTGAATTCTAAAGTTAATGACTGGATGACTATTCTTATTAAAAATCGAAGAGAAGTAAACTCAAAACGTTTTGAATAAGATATTCAAGAATCGTTATCATCCTATCTGACCACCTATGGTGGTTATTTCAAGCTCTCTTTGCCTCTTTAGTATTAATAATTTATTAGAAAAACACGTATTTCCACTGACAAAATTCTCTTAAGCTGAACATTGTTGACTCTTTTGTAAGCATGAAACAGACCCAAGTGGGCGTCTTCTTGAATTCCCATGAACAATTGCAGAAATTAATAAGAGCTTCAATAAAAAAAATGTTTAATTCTGTTGAAAAAAAAAAAGGCTCAATTTGGCGGTTCTGCACTAGTCTCCTCGCCTCTCTCTTTCTCTGTATAAGAACACCATTAATGCCACCATTCTGTCAACACCAACATCCATCGATTGATTCCTTCACTGTAAAACTATGGCATCGACTGTTGCTCATGGACTTGTTCTAATTGTAGCTGCAGCTTCAATGCTGACAGTTGCCATGGCTAATAGGGGCTGGTCCTATGGCTTCAACTACACTTTCTTTCCTCCCATTCCCAAGCATGGCTCGCATAACAATAATCTAAATCCTCCTAATAATATCACAGTGGGTGGCTCCGATAACTGGCACTTCGGCTTCAACTACAGCGTCTGGGCTTTCCAAAATTCTCCCTTCTACGTTAATGACACTCTAGGTCAGTTTATTTGTATACATTTTCTCATTAGGGTTTAAAGTTTACAGTTAACTGAAGTATTGAACTAAAAATGTTCTTGTTATTATTTTGAACTTTCAGTTTTCAAGTATGATCCTCCTAGCGCAAAAGTTTTTCCACACAGCGTTTACTTGCTGCCAAATCTTTGGAGCTACCTGACATGCGACCTGTCGAAGGCCAAGATGATTGCAAACTCCACACAAGGCGGCGGCGATGGGTTCATTTTTATTCTGAAGAAGTGGCAGCCTCACTACTTTGCCTGCGGCGAACGTGGTGGCCTCCATTGCAGAGATGGCAACATGAAGTTCATGGTTATGCCGCTGCTCCGCCGTTGGAATTACTAGTGATCGATCTTTAGAATATTAACAACACGTAGAGGAATAAAAGGCATAATTAATTACCATAGATAATTCGAGGATTATATTTTTTTTTTATTTGACTCATTGAATTTTTTTAATAAATTTGCAATAATAATAATTGTTTAAATATATGTATAAGATGAATTTATTGATTAGTTGCAGTGGTTGATATTTCTGGAGAACACAAATTGGAGAAGAGATTTGGCTATATATGTATCTTTTTACTGAATTATTGTTCCTTCTTAATATGATAATACAATTTTTCAGTTTTAAATAAAGTTTTGAGATGGTCTCTTATTTATATATAATAGCATTCCGAGTGATGTAAGGTTTATTAAAACCCCAATGATCACCAAGTTTGTTTCATTAATTTACATGAAATAAAAGAGAAATACATACGTGCATTGTTATTGTATTTTTTTTTTTTTTTTTTTTTTAAGTAAGTTTTAGATATAAAAGAGAACGAATGTACAGAGAAGCTTATAAAAGGCGGTCCGTCCACCTCAGGACCAACCTTTGGCTTAGAACAAAAAACAATAGTCTATACAAGACCAAAAGTTATACAAAATCTTAATCAATCACGGGATATCTTACCACAAGACAAGTCCTGGATTACGACCAGAAACAATAACCTATACAAGACTAAGACATAAAAGACGCTTCTACCTATGTAGGACAGAACTGGTTTAGGAGAGAAAAACAAAGCAAACCCTGAAAAGTGCATTGTTGCATGCCTATATGAGGAGAAAAACTTACATAGGACAGTCTCTATTTCTTTCTTATGATTTGTTAGATCGTCATTTTATCATACTATTGAGGGTTACGCTTTGCTTCCATTTTTTTTTTAATGTTATTTCCTAATATGATGAAATAATTTTTTTCAATATATTAAGTTTCTGATTGAAACAATCTAGAGTAATACGAAACCAAAATAAGTAAATATACACAAGTAAAGAGAAAGAAAAATACGTGTGAGTTACCTTTGTTCACCAAATTAACAATCTACGTTTAACGGAGTCAATATTATTGAAATACCTCTCTCGTTACAATGAATTTATTTACTCTATGATTTGCTATCACACTCATACAATAGAATAATAAGTTTATATATTAGGTTTAAAGAGGAAAATCTAATATTACAAAGATTTTTTTTCTTAAGGCCCCAATTAAGAATTAATTATTTAGAGAAATCTTTCAGCCACATTTCATGAAATAGGCCTTATTGTTGAAGTGGTCGGTAACTCTAACACTGATATCATTGATCTCATACATATATTCATAACTTATAGAAAACAAAATTATGACTAAATATATCTTAATTGATCTGGTACAAATTTTTTTACCATAAGATGTGTTATTTCTTTACAAATTTTGATTTTAATCCATTTATTTTTACCTAATCCAAAGCTTGATTTGGCAATTCTAATTTACTGTTTCCCCTATATAATTAAGCGCCAATGCACCGATCCTCTCAACAAAATCATATTCTTCGTTCTCAGTACTCAGTAGTATCCATCTCTCTGTCAGGAAATGGGGTTCACTGTTGCACAAAGTCTTGTTCTAATTGTCGCTGCAGCTTCCGTTTTGACAGTCTCAAAGGCTGACTGGTTTGATTGGAATCACAAAAATGGTTCTCAAAAAATCGTTGTGGGTGGCAAAGAACACTGGCACTTCGGCTACAACTACACCATTTGGGCTCTGAAAACTCCTTTCTACGTCGACGATGTTCTTGGTGAGTTTATTACATATAGAGGGATAAGATCTTTTAACTTAAATTTTTATTTATATTTTGTTATCTTTGCAGTTTTCAAGTATGATGCTCCAAACGCTACCACATTTCCTCACAGCGTTTACTTGCTGCCTGATCTTATTAGTTTTCTTGAGTGTGACCTTTCAAAAGCCAAGATGGTGGCAAACACCACACAAGGCGGTGGCTACGGCTTCGAGTTTGTGCTCAAGGATTGGCTGCACCCTTACTACTTTGCCTGCGGTGAACACAATGGCCTCCATTGCAAGGATGGCAACATGAAGTTTGTGGCTGTGCCATTACTCCGCCATTAGAGATATCCATATGACCGTTCAATGAATTTGCAATAATAATAATTGTTTAGATATATGTATAAGGTGAATTTGTTGATTAGTTGCAGTGGTTGATCGAATTTCTGGAGAACACAAATTGGAGAAGAGATTTGGCTATATGTATAATTTTACTAAATAATTGTTCCTTCTTATGGAGCGTTTAAATCATATAATGTTTTTTTATCTTAGGAATAAGATTATCGGAAAGAAATATTATATTGTAGATTACCAAGTTTAAATTATTATTATTCTTTGTTCAAATGGGATGTATTAATAATTAATGCATTTGGATGACAGTAATAACAGATGTCTCGAAACACCCTTTTACTAATGCCCTTGGGATGATTACTTGTATTACTAATTAATCTATTTGATTAGCTGTAAGAGCAGATGTCTTGATTACATTTTACTAAAATGCCCTTTAGATGATTACTGGGCATAAATAATTAATGTGTTAAGTTAATAAAAGAAATGATCAATTAACAAAATTATTTTTCTTATATTTTAGTCAAGTATTTTATTGTTAAGTCATTTATTGACAAATTTACACAGACTATTGAAACTCTGAAAAAAAGCTATTGTATTTTCTGTTGAGTATACATTCAACACCTCACCCTATTATTGCAACTAATATAGTTCCCATCTCCCAATTTAAAACTCTGATTTGTGTATTGCCACAAATTGTAGTTCGTACATGTTGATTTCTACTTTAGTCCAATTGAAGCCTTTTTTTTTCAAGGCAAAAGAAAAATTGTATTTTTTTTGTTTACACCAGGCTATAATTCATATGCAAGTTTCCAAATTTAAGGAAATTTGTTGACTTTTTCCACTTATCCTGAATCGAAATTATGTGTGAAAAGTGTGAGAATTATTGGTACATTTGTAATATCACATATTTTGAAGTACCTGTGCATTTACATTAGGCTGAATCCAAGCAATGTACCAATAAATTAACTACAAGCAGAATAACGTGCTCTTTAAATCTGTGAACCAATAATAATACATAATTCCGCATGTTGTAACAGTGAATGTAATCACCACAATTTTTAAAGTGAACTCAATCTGACATCTGCAAATACAAATTACACAATACTCAATACTCAATACACAATAGTCATACATAAATGAATAAAACGCGGCCTATGTTATACTCAACTTCACACAACAATTTGTCACGAAAGGCTGTAAATTCAGCCAGGGTAAACCAATCCTGCATCATCTATTGAGAATAAAAACCAACAACAATAACCCACATATTATAATTGAAGAGACAATAAGCAAATCACCCTGATCAATTAAATGACCGCAATACTTACAAAGTAAGGATACCCGTCGTTGATTGAAAAATCTTCTAGGGTAGCTTCCATAAACTTGGTTATATAATACAATACGAAATATCCACAATCCAGGTTGTTCCGTTATCAAGGGACCTGGTGAGTGCATTTATCAGTCACAACAAATACATGAAATACTAAACATATCAACCATTATTTACAATCAACCAACACAATATATATTGTTTTATCACCTTAGGCAGTAGCAAAGGCAGTTTATCAACCAATGCTGGATGCTTGGGCATTGTTCCTGATTCATAAATATCCCTCACAAACTTGCATAATTAAAGTTGGAAAATTTGAAACTCATTCCAGTACCACATCTCCAACAATACAATTTCATCATGTGCTCAAATGTGCTTGCAAATAATTGTGAAATAATCAAAGTTTACCATCGAATAAGAGGTTGCAACCTCATTCCATTTTCCGATCCAAGCGAATCAAGCAGCACCATGCATTGAGTTTTAATTTCCAAGTTCACATCTCCACCAAAGTTGCACAAAATCAGTAAACTCTAATGACCCCTGTTAGCATAATTTATGCATATTATCAATATCAAGTCTTAAGCAACCGAAATCAACCCATATTTGCGTTTTGCAAGTATAAAACAAATGCCTACAAAGTCAAGATCTTCACTCACAAGAGGACTATAGGAATGAACACATATTTTCTTGAGAATATGTCCAATTCATTAATCCACTTCAGCACGTTCCCTTTATAGACTTCTTCTGTGCACATAAAAAACCACATGCCGTCTAGGGTGATGAAATTGTGTAAGTTGTCTTTTTTAAAAATGCTTAGCAACTTCCTGCAGATCAGAAATATGCAGTCAATCATATGAGGTAAACATATTATGTAAATATGGCCCGAAGCATCTGAATTGTAAAACAGTTCCGTACCCCATCTGGAGGTCAAACATACTGCTGTTCAACAACCCCCCTCCCCTTTTGTTTGCCAATAGCCTACTTGACCTTCATTGATTTGTGGCACCTACATATGTTCATCGTTCATTTACATTAGCAAACAATTCTAAACATCTTTCATAACTGAATGCATTAGTCGGTTTACGAGTTGCAAGGTTGGTACCTTTGGATTTGCTACCTTTTAGGGCTAAAGGAATCTCCTGACATTCTTCATGTACTGAATGACTAGTCCCGCCTACATCTGCATATCAATCAATTATGAGCTACGTTAATAAGCATTATTCTCAACCATACAACAATTTAACTCCATAACTATCCAATCATAATACCTTTCAGATTATTATCCATACAAACTGTGTGGCTCTCTTGACATTGTTCATGAACTTTTGCACTTTCAGTCGTCACTATTAGGCAATGTGGTGGTCCTTCCATCGTTCCTACACAACAACCCACAAAACAAAGCACATCAAAGAGGCAAAGAAAATAGAAATTAGAGAACTGACACTTTATAAATGCTACTATACCTTTATCGTACTTTCCTGGTAAACTAAATGTTAGTTTCCATAAGTAAATGAAAATGCCACATTCACCATACTAAGGCAACACAAACATTAATTGCACAGACATGCACACATCATTTTATACATCATTACCAAAGTTAAGAGTTTTTTACATTTCATATTAGTGATCCCTACCATCCTGTACTAACTGCAAAC